AAGCTAATCAACTAGATGGTGGAATCCCAGTTCAATTATGCAAATTGTATTACTTGAGCATCCTAGATCTTTCTCAAAATATGCTTTCTGGTCCTATACCTTCTTGTTTAGGAAATTTAGCTCTTGGATCAACGTATAGCAAGTCTTTTATGAGCATCGATTACTTTGAACCTTTAAAAGAGGAAGTATTAAAGTACATCACAGTGAAATTGATGTTGGACTTCTTTTCTGTATCACATTTGTATCCTTATACCTACATGGAAGAATGGGTAGAGTTTACCACAAAGAGTGGGTCTTACAAATATGAGGGTGGCATTCTTGATTATATGTTTGGGATTGATTTATCTTGCAACAAGTTAACTGGCCAAATCCCATTTGAATTGGGAAACTTGAGTGAAATCCGTTCGTTAAACTTTTCACACAATAATTTGATAAGAGTTATACCCCCATCATTTTCAAATCTTAAACAGATTGAGAGTTTGGACCTTTCTTATAACAGCTTGAGTGGTAGAATCCCAGTCCAACTGGTTGAGTTGAATGCTCTAGAGGTTTTCAGCGTGGCACACAACAATTTGTCAGGTAGTACTCCCGAAAGAAAAGCTCAGTTTGGGACCTTTGATGAAAGCAGTTATGAGGGAAACCCTTTTCTTTGTGGACCTCCGTTGCATAATAATTGCTCAAAAACTAATTCACCGTCAACAGTATCAACTGCAACAGATGATGAAGGAGAAGACAATTTGCTGGACACATATGTTTTTTGCGTAAGCTTTCTGGTTTCATATGTAGTTGTGCTATTGGGAATATTTGCTGTTCTGTATATAAATCCATGTTGGAGAAAAGTGTGGTTTCTTTTCATCGAGGATTGCATCAGTTACTGTCGCTTCTCAACTGTGGGCAATTTTGTTGAGTTATACATCTTCAAAGCAAGCACTTAGCTATCATGGGAGATCTTAAAATTTTCCTTCCGCATGAGTTGGAGACCTCTTCATTGAAGTTGATTTCATGTTTTGAGTGAAGGTAATTTCTTTTATCTAACTTTTTGCTAAAATGGTTGTTGGACAAGTTGTGGATTTCCTCACTCTTTTAGCCGTGTGTTTTGATGGTTTTGTGTTTGTTTGCAATTCTATGACTTTCTCAATTGAAGTTTGGTTGATCTTTCCCAAGTTGTTATTTAAATCAGTTAAACTTTTCCAAAATGATTAACAAAGACACACATTAAAGAATAATGATGGTTTTGTAACTTAAGGGGTGGTTCATGGTGCAAACTCTTTGGTACCTTATGATGGTCCATGGTCTTTAGGATTGGATGACAACATCAAGTTTTAAATCGATTCTAAAATATATATATTTTTGACTAATCAAAATTTAGTTATTGGTCATCTAATTTGTTAATTTAGAGATAATATTTATATTTTTTACCAATCAAAATTTAATTATTGGTCATTTAAATTAAGTCATATAGACTCTTGAAGCGAAGATATCAAGAATACTTCGGAATAGTTTGTGATCAAGATCAAGTCGTGAAGACCCTTCAAGTGAAGATATCAAATTGAGTTCGTGATTAAGATTAATCTTGAAGACCCATGAAGCGAAGATCAAGTGAAGTTTGTGATCAAGACTAAGTTTGAATTTGTGACTTTTGAAAACGAAGTGAAGAAATTAATCAGAGGAATTTTTAAAAATTATTCTTATATCAATAGCAACATTTTGCAAAGCATTAGAGTATTGATTTCTCTTAAAACTTTGTCTTTGTTTGTGTGTGGACTTATTGGTACCTTACTTGATCAAGGTAAATTCTGGCTCAAATTAATATCACACAATTTTTTATTATTGATCATATATAGAGATATTTCTCTAACATAACTTCTTAAATACATCTCTTAAATAGTCCTTTATTAGCTTTCTTTAATTTAATAACTCTTATTATCTTTTAGAAATCAAAATGTAATTAGATATCTTCCATGAATTTATAAATTTTTCAGGTTGGTGTGATCTAAAGAACCTTGAAGTGTTGTATATCTATGGGAATGCACTCCAGGGGATATTTCCTTTATGTTTGGGTAACTTGACATCTCTACGTGTGCTAGATATCTCCAAAAATCAATTCACTGGAAATTTGTATCCTTTAGCAAATCTCACATCACTCCGACTCCTTTCCCTTTTAAGAAATCACTTTCAAGTGTCACTGTCATTCATATTGCTTGCAAGCCTTACAAATCTCAAGATCCTCCTAAGTGATGAAAACAAGTTAGTGATGGAACTTGTCTTTCAAACTTCAGTGCCAAAGTTCCAACTAAATATCATGAGTTTGTCGAAGTGTACAGTAGATCAAGAACTCATTAAAGAACTACCAAAGTTCCTTTATTACCAATATGACTTGAGATATGTTGATCTTTCATATAACAAGTTCAGCAGAACGCTTCCATTTTGGTTGGTAAAGAACAATACAAAGTTAGAAGAACTTGTGTTGATGAACAATTCTTTTACAGGTCCTCTCTTGTTCCCACCATTTCCTCATCCTAATGTATCTTCAATTAACATATCTAATAATAAAATACAAGCTCAATTTCGGTAGATATATGTTCAACTTTTCCGCATTTAGAAGAGTTAATTATATCTACCAATGCCTTTGAAGGTAATATCCCTTCTTCTTTAGGTGGTATGAGCCATTTAACTTCTTTAACCTTTCCAATAATCAATTGTTTGAAGAAGTACCAGAAATGTTAAGCATGAGTAGTTCATTATGGGTTCCTACGCTGTCAAATAACAACTTAGGAGGAAAGGTTGTTCCTGCAATCCTTAACTCAAAGTTCTTGTTAGAATTATTTTTGGATGGGAATAACTTTGCTGGACAGAGAATTGATATTGAAAGCTCGACTATTGACTTTCCTTATTTCTTACGTGGCATTGATTTTAATAACAGTTTGTCTTACGAACTTCTAAGATGATGGGTATGGAAATTTTCAAATTTGGCGAGATTGGATTTGTCCAACAATCATTTCAAGGGTTCTATTCTAATGGAATGGTGCAACTTGGATAATCTTGAATTTTTGGACCTCTCTCAAAACAATTTATCTAGCTCTATACCATCTTGTTTCAATCCTCCATAAATAGAACATGTCTACTTTAGCGAAAACAGATTACGCGGTCCACTAACACATGCTTTATAGAATAGCTCTTCGCTAGTGACTTTAGATCTCAAAACAAACAATTTGACCGGTAACATTCTAGAATGGATTGGCACTCTTTCGACCTTGAACGTCATTCTTTTGAAAGCTAATCAATTAGATGGTAAGATCTTGGTTCAATTTTGCAAATCATATTCCTTGAATATCATAGATCTTTCTCAAAATATGCTTTCTGGTCCTATACCTTTTTGTTTAGGAAATTCAACTCTTGGATCAATGTATAGGAAGTCTTATATGAGCTTCGGTTACTTTGGACCTTTAGAGGGGGAGGTATTAAAGTACATCACGATGGAATTAGATTTTGACTTCTTGTCTACATCACATCTATATCCTGATAGCTGCATGGAAGAATGGGTAGAGTTTACGACAAAAAATGGGTCCCTCAAATATACAGGTGACATTCTTGACTTTATGTTTGGGATTGATTTATCTTACAACAAGTTAACTGGCTAAATCAAATTGGAATTGGGAAACTTGAGTGAAGTCCGTTCGTTAAACTTTTCCTATAATAATTTGATTGGAGTTATACCCCCATCTTTTTCAAATCTTAAACAGATTGAGAGTTTGGACCTTTCTTATAATAGCTTGAGTGGTAGAATCCCTGTCCAACTAGTTGAGTTGAACACTCTAGAGGTTTTCAACGTGGCACACAACAATTTGTCAAGTAGTACTCCAGAAAGAAAAGCTCAGCTTGGGACCTTTGATGAAAGTAGTTACAAAGGAAACCCTTTTCTTTGTGGACCTCCATTGCATAATAATTGCTTAAAAATTGATTCACCATCAACAGTACCAACTGCAACTAATGATGAAGGAGAAGGCAATTTGCTAGACACGTATGTTTTTTGTGTAAGCTTTCTAGTTTCATGTGTAGTTGTGCTATTGGGAATATTTGTTATCCTTTACATAAATCCATGTTGGAGAAAAGCGTGGTTTTTTTTCATCGAGGACTGCATCACTTATTATCATTTCTCAATTGCGGGCAATTTGCTGAAGTTGCGCATCTTCGAAACAATGCTTAGCTGTTGTGGGAGATCTTAAAATTTTCCTTCCGCATGAGTGGGAGACCTTTTCATTGAGGTTGATTTCATCTTTTTGAGTGGAGGGAATTTCTTTTATCTGACTCTTTGCTAAAATCGTTGTTGGACAAGTTGTTGATTTCCTCACTCTTTTAGCCTTGTGTTTTGATGGTTTTGTGTGTTTGCAATTCTATGACTTTCTCAATTGAAGTTTGGTTGATCTTTCCCAAGTTGATTTTCACATCAGTTATTTCTCTTTTCTTATTTACGTTAATATTTTTTTTTGAAAGCAAATTTATTGGCATTAGGACCCTTATAGTAACAGCCTTGTGCTTGATCATTACCTGTACAGTCAACCAACATCAAGTTCCATGGCAAAATCCAACTTTAGAAAAGCTAGCATAATGTGAAAAAGTTCTCTACCTTTTCCTAGAAGACCCCTTTCAGAACACAAAAAGGGGAGCTTAGCATAAAAAACCCCTTATCACTCTCGTGAAGCAGAACACCTTAACAGAATCATGGATTCCTCTTTTGAGAACTCTTACATTGCCAAAGCATCAAGTCTTCCTCTCATTTTTCCTAAAGTAGGATCTCCTATGCTGTAAACCCAAAATAGAAAATCTTAAACTCAAGAGGAAACAAAGCATGACATTGATGGGAAAAGCAACCTCAAAGAATTCCCTAAATAGCCGCAGACTCCCTTAGCTTCGCCATCCCATGATGAGCAAACAACACAAGACCAAAGAGCAGTAACCAGCATTGAGGGGGGTCCTCTTCCTTGAAAAAGGCCATTGATAAAGGCCAGACTAGAAGTACACAATATTGGAAGACAACCCAAAAAGAAAAAACTGCCAAACAGGGGCTAAAAGCTCATCTCTCAAACATCAAATTTTCTCCTAACAGATTCATGAAAAAATATAAAAACAAACACATACACACCCCAAAGCCCAATAAAGTGAAAGAGCCCATCGATCAAGATCCAAAAAAAAAAACATTGACAATTCAATTATAGATTTCCCTTCCACATTCCTTTTTTTTTCTCTTCATTTTTCCTTCTACTTGTTTTCTCTCTTATTTTTTTTTCTGTTTATTCAACCTTTTTTTGCTTTTCTTCATTTTTTTGTTCTTTTCTTTCTTTTTTAATTATGTTACTAATTTTTCTATGTATAACAATATTAACCTAAAACAGAAAAAAGCAAAGCACCTTGAGCCTATCGACCAAGGCTAGAGAAAGAGTCAATATGAACAAATCATAGCCTTGCTTGCTCTGGCCACGAATCTAACTCCTCCTTGACAAACAACGCAAACATTGCAGCTCTACATAAACCTTCTGGGCTGAATTCGTCTTGATGGGTTTTGCTCTTAAAATGATAATATCCAATGAAATCCTGAATCGAGTAACATAGAAAAAAGTTATTCCCCCTGAGTTGTCTGGATATCAATGGCTAAAGGCAACAGATGACTAATCCCAACCTTAGATTACACTATGCAATACAAAAAAACATTAGTAAATAATTATTCGGAGAATAATATATTGCAGAGCTAGAAAATAGCACATGGTACTGGAAACTTATTGCTAATAAATACCACAATCATATGCACAGTGTGCACATACCAAAACAGGTATAGAAGAACATTCAGCTGAATGTGTCAGATTTTTTGACTATTGGAATTGTAAGATCAAAGAAGCAATTAATTTCTTATAGCATCAGAGGAGAATGCTGAAAATATAAGGAGCACTCTATCAAAAAATGAACATGAGAACAGTAGAATTAGATTCAACCGGACAAAACAACAAAAGGTTCAATAATGAGAAAAAAAAGAAGTGCAGCATCTTCATCCAGCCTTCATGATGACTGGTTGCTTGATACTATTAAAAAATATAACTGTTCTCTAGCAGTGTAAACTTACTGATCCACAGTCATTAGCTCATCACTTTTAAAGACTACCTGGTGCTTGGAATGCTAATTTCTTCTGCATTTGCTATTTCCTGGAGTCTTAAGATTTAAGCATAAGCAAATTTTATATACAACTGCGAAAAAGTTAAATAACTGTACATCAAGAAACTAAGAGTACAAGATTTAACAAATATAATGTGTTACCTGTCATTAAATAACACTTTTATTACTTTGTCTAACCTTTTCTTGCTCTTCTCCCCCCAACCTCCACTCTATCTCCCCATTTCCTCCTCGACGACCCCAAACCCAGGTTAGCCTATGAATTTCATTTAGGAAAATCAATGAATCACTAAAGGACTATTTTGAGGTTAAATATTCCCACCAATGTGCTTGATGTAGTTAATCTTCCAAAACTGCACATTTTACTAGGCCAGCACAGTTCCAAGTTAGTAATTGGGATTTGGGAGTAATGTAAGACATGCTTATAGAAAAGGTGATCCTTTCTACCAGCAGCATAATTACAATCTACTTGCTCTTGCAGTTGCAAGATGCTGCTGTCAGAATGCTGCCAATCTTACTCCAAAAGATTGATGATGACAGTATCGACAATGATAATAAAAGCTAATTTTATCAATACAATGCAGAGATCTATGCTAATAACTTCAAAAAGATCAAGAAATGGACTAATATTAGAAAATCTGCAACAGGTTTCACAAACTCAAAGGAAATGCATAAATTAAAGAGAGGAAGAATATTTTCACCATTAAATCCCCCTTGACTCCAGCTTCTTCAATAGCTTCCCTTACTGCAGCCTCCTCAACTGTTTCATCATTCTCCCAGCCTCCCTAAAATCAGAGGGCAAAAAAACCATAAGAACTATTTAGACTCTAGAACTCCTCTTTTCTTCAAAAAATAAAAAAAAAGCAAACACAATAACCAAGCAGCTAATTTTGACTCCATTTAGGCAAACTATTCAGACCATAATTCTCCAACAAATAACTCTTATCCTTAGACAGCATAACTAACCTAATTCAGTAAAATCACATCAGAATCAGAGCAAAGGATGTTTCTCAACAATTTCCATGAGCAATTTACCCCTCAGTGAGTAAATTCTTTTGCTAAACTTGAATACAGCATTCCAGTTCAACAAAAATTGGAATATGTCCTAAGTACCCCACCCAATAAAAGACTACTAATCTGTTGTTATCAAAGTGCATCCTAGGGTTCTACTAGATATCCAAGAGACAAGTGCAAAAGAATATCCTGCTAACCAAAATAGTAGAAGGAGCATACTCATCATCCTTCCAGCTATATCAAAAACTGTTACAAGTATTATCCCTAAAGCCTGCCTGAAAGTGATCAACTGATGAGATCAATACTTTCCAAAGTTTCATAAATTGACCCAACAGTGAATTCCTCTATTCCTTACATCAGAGCTCTCTTCGATCAGGTTTGTAGCTCTAGTAGGCAAAGAAGCTACCGAACATGACAAACTGTTAAGTGAGAATTCATCTCACAAGTACACTGCCTAATTTGTAGTTAATGTCAATCACAATATTTGAATGTTGGACACTAGATAAATTAGTTGAAAACTGCAAGAAACAAGAACTGGGAGTTAAAAGGCTAACAATGAGTATTCCAGAATGCAATTCAAAATTAATGGCCATTGCAACATAACTATATACCTGCACTTTTATGTAGCTTTTAGATGTTTCTTCTTCTCAATAGTAATCTATTTAAGGGGAAAAATAAATGCAATTGTATTTCTACAGCAGAATGGACAGCAACAGCTTAGCAATAGTAGGCAAGTAAAGCCAACAGAAAGTACATACTACAGCATATGTTGAAATCAAAAACAACTTCGTACCTTTGGGAACAAAAGACCTGGTCCACTAGTTGAGTTAATCATCAGTACCTCAACTACCTTTTCAGAATTTACATCTGTCTCATCTGAGCTTCTATATCTAAATGGAATACACCTGTCAAGAGTGAACAGTGGCTTTAGCACATGGAGATCAGTTGTAAACAGAATTTTCACAATACTTCAAAGTGACAGCAAGTGTTCCCAAAAGTCAAAGCCTATTAGATAACATTCAGAATGAAACAGTTCAATCTCAAATCAAAAGAGCTAGAAAGGAGAAAAAGGAAAGAATGATAATCTAACATGATCGAGGCATGGAATAAATAACAGTCCAGTTACAACATTACCACTAAATTTGAGAAAGAAGGCCACAAGCAGAGAGGAATCTCATAAAGTAGCATCTAGAATAGCATTTATCATCAATAATGAAGGGTGTCCTACCCCCAGTATCATCAATACTTCCAACATAAACGCAGCATAACTTTCACTGTTAACCATAGTAATATGGATTAAGCGTGATAAACAAATACCAAAGAATATGCTAGGAAATTTTCTC